AGAAACTTAGTTTACCATCTCTAACCAAATAATACAGTCACTTTTTAAACTACTCATTAATTTTCAAGCTTTAAGTGTCAATTTATCAAGCCCCATCACATAGTTTCGTAGCGAAGCATGGGTATCTAGCTAGTAATATAATATTATAATAAAATAATATTTATCTAATATTGTATGTTGAGTAAGTAAACAGAAAAAAAATCAGCTATCCTTCACATCTTTAAATTTTGTCATTCCTTTCTATTGTACAAATTCAAGCATTGTGTGTAAAGTGAAAAGCACCCAAATTTAATGAAAAAGAAAGCAAAGAGTGTGAATTGCTTGAAAAAAATTATAATTGGCCAAAAAAAAAATTAAACCTCTCTATATTTTTACAAATAAAATCAAAAAGCTTTTTAAATGCACTTTAAAAATTTTTCAACCCAAAGTACAACAGGGCGAATGGAATGTAAGATTCCCCCCAAATGTCAAACATTTATACTGTCTGATTTTTTTTAAAAAATTAATCCTTTGCCAAAATCTTCCTTGAAATTCCTCAAAAGTTTAACAGGTCTTCCAGTTTTCTAACTTGGTTTCAGGAAGTTTGAGAATTTCTTCTGGATTTCACTTGGTGTAGTTTAAGCTCATTCTATTGCTTGAGGAAGTGAAAAAAGGATCTCCAGGGATTGTTTGGTTTCACAGATAAATGAGAGGCATTTCCTCATGATGTCATCACTTGGGACTTAATGATTGAAGCATAGAAAGTCAGGTAGGTTGCAACTGATTGAAGAGCTTATTGTGCAGTGACAGTATACACACACACACACACACACACACACACACACACACACTCATCTCAAAACTAATAAAATCATTCCCCATCAATGGGAAAACAAATTCTCAAGAAGGGACAGGTAGGTAGTAAAACATAATGCGATAAATTTTTTATGCATGGCACTATTCCGAATTATTGGTAGCTATTATGCATTTGATATCTGAGAGTTGGGAAGCATACCAGTACCTTAAGATTTAAAAAGTCAAATGGAATGGAAATTTCTGGTTTTATAGTTGATTGACGAAGAAATCTGGAGCAAAGCTGTTATGTTATTGATTGTGGGCATTAGATGCTGCTTTACATGCTAGCAGTGTCAACCTGCCTGCCTTTCTGCTTAACTTGCAACAAATTGAAGGGGTTTTTTTTATATTCTATAGATTACCAGCCTTAATCCAAATGGCCATTCATTCTTTATTCTTCAGCCTGACCCAATGTGTCTCTTCTGGTGTGGTTTTATTCATTTATTATTCTTCATCAGAACACCTATCTCCTTTTATTACTACTTTACAAAATAACATTTATTTATTCATTTAAAAATATTTCTAAGAAGCACTACATACTATAAAATATTAACTAGCCATCTTTATCCTATAGTCTAATCCAGTAAAAGAAAGCAAAGTTCAGAGCGTTTAGATGACAATGCAACCATCTGTCTCTTGTCTAAGAAGTTTGGGTTGTCAATCACTTTTGATTCTTGTCCTTTGTTAGCTGAGAAAATGCTGTAAGGTCTTTTTCTTTGAAAGGGTCAAAGATGCTTAACGTTTCAGCATGTGGACTCTCAAGGGAAGGCTCCATAGGTAATGGAAACGAAGAAGGACACAGGATATAAGATAGTAAAAGAAAGAAGGAAAGAAGGACGCAGTTGGACACTGTGGAAAGACAATTTCCACAATTCCACAATTTTTTAAAAAGTAAGAAGAGGATGGATCCATGGTTTCTGGCAAGTGCTCTTGCTACAACTGGATATTAAACAGATTAAGGATATATCTTTCATTCTTCTGTTATGAAACAAGAAAAAGCTAAGTTTACAAAATAGACATCCAGAACCACGCTGGGGAGGCTTGCAGCAAGAAAGCAATACCAAATTGTTTTTCACAGGTGACCCAGAAAGCCTGAAAGGATTTATGGAGGGGAAGGAACCATAGCTAGGCCTAGGAGTTCCATGACACTGTAGTGTAGATGTGTTTAAATTAGCTTTGGGGGGAAGTAATGGGAAAGGGGCAGTGGTGGGATTCAGCCAGTTCGCACCACTTAGGGAGAACCGGTTGTTAACTTTCTGAGCAGTTTGGTGAACTGGTTGTTGGAAGAACCAGTAGGGCAGAAAACCGGTTGTTAAATTATTTGAATCCCATTACCGAAAAGGGGGATTATTTCATCTTTTCTGGACCAGCCCATTTTCTGATCTAGGCAATGTCTCTTTCCCCCATGAATTCCAAGGTGCAAACCTGCATCTTGCAATAGAAGAAACAATGAGCAGGGAGTTGAACTAGAAGTTTTCCAAGGGGTCCCTTCCACCTGTTATTCTGTTATTTTGTCATTAGCTACTTTTTAGGATATCAGTGTTGCAATGATTATTTGGCTTTTTCATTCAAAGGTAAGTAGGAAGAGATGAAGAAAGATCATATATCAAGGTATTTGTTGTGTGATAAAGGTTTCAGTCTGAAGCTAAATTACTTTATACTGAAATCTCCATTGTATTATTACTTGGTGTACATTTGGTGTGTGGGTGTGTTTATATATGTTAAAGAAGAAAAAATGGATCAACAAAACAAGTTTAACAAAATTAAAATATTGTAGAGGAAATAAAGTAAAAAAAAATTTTTTAAAGCTATTGTGTCTGACTTCACCCTTTTTATGTCTGCTAATTACAATATTTATAAACATTTAGCCCAATAAAAAGCAAAACTGCAGATTATTGTATTTGCCATTGCTGTATATTACTGTATGTGTGAGAACCATTTTTGCTTAAATTCAGTTAAATTTCTATTGTGTGTGTGTGTGTATCTGTATGTATATATACATGCATGTGTGTGTTAGTTTTGCTATAGTTGTGTGTTCTGCAAGTTCCCTGTCAGATGTTGCTGGAATTGTGTTTTCCTTTTTATATTCTACAAATTTTATCCGAACTACACATATTTCATTAAATTATGATGTTTCTAGATGATTTTTTTCTGAAATTATTCCTAGTAAGGAAAGTTATGCTTTCATTTTGAATTTAAAATACAAAATTTTCTGCATTGTGCTGTGTATGTCTTTCACCAGTATTTTTGGGTTTTTTATCCATTTACCACATACGACAAAATATTCCTTCTGTTTCACGGCATTTCCAACATCTGTGATTTATCTGTCATAGATATTATGGATGGGTTTGTATACCATCTGTAAAACATTGTATGCCAATTTTCCTTTAGGTTATAACATGGTATAAATCTTAAAGGTTACGCTGTTGAAACTGTTTCTTTTGTATTTTGTAACAATGAATAACATAAAATAATGTGTGAAAAAGCCATGCCATCTGAATCAAACTCTGGACTGAAAAGTAATCCATCACAAACTGAGCAATCACTTTCCTTTGTTATATTTCCTTGGGCAGAAATTGTTTTAGCTCTCTTCACACTAAAATTTCTTCTGCTTTAATCTTCCTGCTTTAACAGCCCACTATTGTAGACAAAGAATCCAGACTAGGTGGACACAAAACAAAATTGCATCACATTAACCAATAAGTGTTTTTGCTGTCCTTATATGTTTATTTACTCCAATTTTTCCTGTTGCTTACTGTAAACTGCCCTGCACGTGAATCAGAAGCAGCAGAAGTTATATTCTTTGTTTGAATAAGAAAAGAGAAAAACACAACTTTTTTGCCTGACCTTACTATTTATATGCTGATTTAAGGCTTTCTGTGTTTCCTATTCAACCTGGATTCTTTGAGAACATTAGTGAAAACAACCCTCCCCAGCACTGAGTCTAGATTCCTGAATTTCCAATCATGAGAGGGAATGGCTACAGGTGAAATTAGACAAGGGTTTCAACAGAAAGCTTCCTATTATGCAGTATTTTGATATTGTTGTTATTCATGCCATGATCTTTCAGCAACAATTACTGTACTCATGAATAAATTCAGCAAACTTCATTCTAATGTTACTCTAAAGTCTCCTGTTTGCTGGCTGCATCCATTTTATGGCTTTCTGCAATTGACACCGAATGATTACTGATAAATAGCCTCCCAGCTGCTGTTCCTATAGTGATTCTTGTGCACCATAGCATTAGTTACTCTGGAAAGAGGTAGGTTTAATGATTATATTCCATACCTATATTTTACTCATGACCCCCCAATCAAAGAAATATTTATTTTGTTTTATTTTATTTTGCCATATAAATAAAATAAACATTCCTTGGTTTGGGAGCTTATGTATAAAATGTAGGTATCAGAAAACAGATCACATTGGAAACCTTTTCATAAGAAAGGAAATAGGGTTGTTAGGATGCTGGGATATCAAGCTATTTCATTAGAAAACTTTTAAGTCATGTTCTTGTTAGGGTATAATATTGAATGCTCCTAGTATTTTTTTAATGCCAATCAAACAATACTTTCAACAGAGCTAAACTGTATCACGGAATGCACAAGATAATCATCAACATTACCACCAATGCATAATGTATTATAGTGATGTTACAAGTCACTGTTACGTATAAAATGGATAATGTGGCTTTGTCAGAAGTAGGACCAAATTCTATTATTTTGGATACTCTACTGTTCTCCAGATTCTGGAAACATAGCAACTAGGCTCCCTAAAGGCACAGCTCATGCATTTCAGTACCACGATCTAGTCAGTTGGGTGCAGTCTGAGGAACATGTTACCTGCCTTTCCTTCTTGCAAGATTTCTGAAGAAGTAGAAGAAAGGAAATGCAAGAAGATCTTGTTTTTCTAGAATATACTGCAGGAATAAAAATATGTTTTACACAAAATACATGGAAGCCATGCATGCCTCCCAATTTACTATCATTCCTCACAAAAACTAGAATTGGGGACCATTGGTGGATTTTAGTTTGCCATTCCTTTTCTACTGCTAGTTTTCCATGGGTACTTGGACTACAAAAGTAAACTGCCGGGAATAGGTAGGTGGTTACTTTTATCTTTCCATCTAGGTTTATATTCTCTCGTCTCATTCTTTTTTCCTCTTGCAGGTCTAATGTCTGTGGTCAATTGCATGGAGAGCAATAACCAGACATCCTCAAGCATGGAATTCCTGCTGCTTGGGTTTTCTGATCTGTTCCGCTTGCGGGTTTTCTTTTTCTTCATCCTCCTTGGGTTGCACTTGGCTACCCTTGCAGGAAACCTGCTGATTCTCTTGGCTGTATCAGCTGAGCCATCCCGTCCTCCAATGCTCTTTTTCCTCTGCCAGCTCTCAGCCATTGAGCTCTGTTATACCCTCATCATTGCTCCCAAAGCGCTGGCTGACCTATTGAGCAAGGGGGAAAGCACAATTTCATTTGTGGGCTGTGCTACCCAGATGCATTTCTTTGTAGCTCTGGGGGGAGCTGAATGTTTCCTCCTTGCAGCCATGTCTTATGACCGCTATGTAGCCATCTGCCAGCCCCTTCGCTACACGGCAGTGATGAACCAAGCGTTTTGTCTTCAGCTTTTGGTCATCTGCTGCCTTGGGGGATTTGTGGTCTCTCTGGGGCTGACTGTGGCTATCTTCCACCTGCCCTTCTGCAGTTCCCATCATATTGATCACTTTTTTTGTGACGTCCCTGCTCTTCTCCACTTGGCCTGCACCAAGAGCTATATCAATGAGCTTCCCCTTCTTGTAGCTTGCACCCTCATCCTACTCCTCCCTTTCCTCCTCATTCTTATCTCTTACACCTGCATCGGCCTTGCCGTGATGAGGATCCATGATTCCTCTGGCCGAGGTAAGGCTTTCTCCACTTGCATCTCACACCTTGTGGTCACAGTCTTGCACTATGGTTGTGCCACTTTCATATATGTCCGACCCAAGTCTAGTTACTCACCCCATCGAGATAAGATGATAGCCCTCATCTATACCAACATTACCCCCCTGCTGTATCCTTTAATTTATAGTGTTAGGAACAAAGAAATCAAAGGAGCTGTGAGGAAGTTATTGCAAAAAAGATTAGCTCATCTAAACTGGAGCATCTTTAAAAGCAGACATGCTCATTTCTGAGAAAGTCCAGCCCAGAATCCATGAAATCAATATTTCTTGTGTATCGGGAAATCTTGTACATTTCTTGTATAATGGAGAGAAAGCAAATAAAAAACAGAGGCACCCACTGTGATTCATCAATTAATCTTTTCTCTTTGCCCTCTGCCTGGGATAGTCAAACATTAATTGTTAATTCATCTTAGTGGGTGGGTCACAAATTATGCAATGCATACACAGACATTAAATGATAATGTACATGCTTAACTGTGCACACTCAGACTTTATTTATTTATGTTTCACATTTCTGAACTGTCTGTCTCCCTCTAAGAGGGACTCTGAGAAGTGTACAATAAAATGTTAAAATATAAGCGAGTGTGTGTGTGTGTGTGTGTGTGTGTGTGTGTGATATAATATATATATATATATATATATATATATATATATAATATATATATTTGTTTGTTTTCTCAGGTTTTCGCGGGTGTTTGTATGTAGGTCTTTGGTTATTCGGGTCTTCTCCCACGTAAAATTGGAAGCAATGCTCCTGGAAGCATGAAGCCGAGAACACCAGCCTGAAGATGACGAATGAGACTTCGTCGAAACGTCGCCAAGACACTTCCAATTTTACGTGGGAGAAGACCCGAATAACCAAAGACCTACATATATATATATAATATATATAATATATATATAATATATATATATATATGATGTGTGTGTGTGTGTGTGTGTGTGTGTGTGTGGTGTGTGTGTGTGTGTGTGTGTCTATGTAAGTTTTCACGGTATATATGTGTGTACAGTTAATATTTCGGGTTTCTTCCCGTGTAATTTATTTTTTTTTATTTTTTTTATGTTTTCCTATTTATATACCGCCCTTCTCCAAATAGGACTCAGGGCGTGAACAGCCAAAGTAAAAAACAGTACATACAAAATTTAAAAACAGTTTAAAATAATTAAATATTTTGGCCGTAAATTAAAACAACCCAATTTAAAATCAATTGTGAACATATCCCTAAAAGGGTAGAAGCGACGTTTCGACAGAATCTCATCTGCCATCATTAGGCTTATGTGAAGGGTCTTTTGCTGTAACTGCCGTTACTATTTCAAATCTGGTGCTGGTAGTCTGGGATGGTCCACCTTTTCATTCTGATTGGTTGGGAGTCCCAGTTTGTGTTTATTGGCTTGGCTTCGGGTGTATGGTCGGTTTTTCTCCACCAGGTGGCAGGGCTTCATCTTTGTGGCTGGTTTGAATATGATTTGGCTGGGTTAGTATATATATATATATATATAATACCAACTTGCTTTAAATTGAAATTCCATACCCACACAACATCTATCCAACGTATTCTGAAAAGAACTGAAATGGCATTACTTAGAAATGAAATCCATAGCAAAAGATTCCTATTGGATCAAGTAAACAAGGATCTATTAGCTTTATACTTAAAGATAAGCAATATTATTCACCCCATATTATGGGACAAAATAAAACAGCTTGCCATGTGGAGATCTGAAATAGAAACCACACATAAAACCTACAGACATCTAAAGAAAATTAAGAAATAGAACACCACAAACCTCCAACCACAACACAACATCATTTAAAACAAGTAGTATACAATGCTTCCGATAGAGAGCTAACAACAGCAGAAACAAATGTCTTAACAAAAGGCTTTAACTTTGCAGTGGCACCCAATAAAATTCCAATAGAAACCATCATATGCGAAGTTGAAACCAGCTTAAAGAAACTCAGTGCTGACAATGCTGATAAAGTCAGACATGATATCACCAACATTCTATGCACTAGTAAACCACCTAAAAGCAACTTATCAAAAGAAGAACAAAAAGCACTGCAAGTTTTAAAAAACGACAATAGCATAATGATATTACCAGCAGATAAAGGCAACGCAACAGTAGTAATGAACACAGCGGACTATGAAAAGCAACTGTCTGACTTACTTCAAGACGCCACATATAAACCCATAAACACAGACCCAACAACATATCTAGAAAAAACCACGAGGATAAAGATAAAATCAAGTACTATAAGTAAAGAAATCCAACAAACAATTATTCCCAGAGAAAAATTATCAAAATGTCCAAAACTGTATGGCCTCCCAAAAATACACAAAGATGGAATACCTCTTAGACCCATAGTAAGTTCCATAGGCTCACTGTTACAAAATCTAGCCAGATATTTAGCAAAACATCTACAACCTTATGCAGAATCTGCTGCTTCATATGTACAGAACTCATACCATTTCATACAAATAATAAAAAAGCAACACATAAAAGAAAATGACCTTCTTGTAAGCTTCGATGTTGTATCACTATTCACACAAATACCTGTCAAAGAAGCCCTGTCATCAATAAAAAACAAATATTAACTACCGAAACATATCGCAGATTTAACAGAACATTGTTTATCCAAACACATACTTCATACACAAAGGATAGAGATATAAACAAATAGAAGGCGCACCAATGGGATCACCATTATCACCGGTCATCGCTAATCTTTTCATGGAAGATTTCGAATCCAATGCTTTAGAAAAAACTGTTAACAAACCAAAATTATGGCTCAGATATGTTGATGACACTTTTGTGATCTGGCCACATGGAAGAGATAAACTAGAAAACTTCTTAGTATATTTGAACAGCCTCCATCCCAAAATAAAGTTCACCATGGAGATAGAATCAGAAAACCAGTTACCTTTCCTTGATGTATTAATTTATAAAAAATCTGATGGCACCTTAGGACATACCATCTATCAAAAGAAGACACATACGAACCGCTATCTCAACGCCAAATCACACCACCATCCAGCACAAATAAACTCTGTTGCCAAAACATTAACCACAAGAACTAAACGTCTGGCTGATGAAGCACATTTACAAACAGAATTATATACACTAACTAATGTACTGACATCAAATGGGTTCTGTAGAAATAAAATCATCAGTATGATCCAACATGCATCACCTAGACAAAAGAAAAAACAACAAGAGGAACAAAACAATGGGAAAGCCATCTTGCCCTATATAAGAGGAACAACAGATAAAATTAGCAAAGTACTGCATAGACACAACATCAAAACCATATTTTGCACAGATAGAAAGATATCGTCCATTCTGAGAAATCCTAAGGACAAAATAGAATTAGAAGATCAAGGCATATACGAAATCCCGTGTGCTTCCTGCCCATCAACATACATTGGACAGACCAACAGAAGAATGAGTGTGCACATCGAGGAACACAAAAACTCAATACAAAAGCAAGAACACACATCATCATTAGTTCAACACATAAACACAACAGGACATAATATTAATTTTAATAACACAAAAACAGTTGCAAAAATAGAACATCTCAATGGCAGAATAATCAGAGAGGCAATAGAAATAGAGAAAAGACCATATTGCATGAATAAACGGGATGACACTTCACGTCTGCCTACTATTTGGAAACCTGCTCTCATAGATAGACGAATCTTAACACCAAATATAAAACATAGATCAAGCGTTAATCAAAAGACATGTAATGACACAAGTCCCAGCCAAATCATATTCAAACCAGCCACAAAGATGAAGCCCTGCCACCTGGTGGAGAAAAAACCGACCATACACCCGAAGCCAAGCCAATAAACACAAACTGGGACTCCCAACCAATCAGAATGAAAAGATGGAGCCATCCCAGACTACCAGCACCAGATTTGAAATAGTAACGGCAGTTACAGCAAAAGACCCTTCACATAAGGCTGATGATGGCAGATGAGATTCTGTCGAAACGTCGCTTCTACCCTTTTAGGGATATGTTCACAATTACACGGGAAGAAACCCGAAATATTAACTGTATACACACACACACACACACACACACACACACACACACACACCACACAGGGCTCCCCATGCAAGGCTGCAGAACCATGTCTTAACTCCTTTTTGGAAGACCAAGGGAGTTGCAGTTTAATTCTAGGTGTAATTCATAATGCTGTTTTTACCCATAAAGCCCTATATTTAACTTGTGGAATCGCCTATTTCCTGTGGTATCTGCCTATCTGCCTATCTGACAGGGTTGCAATGCCACTCTGCCTTCCTCTGAAATGAGTTACTCCATGAAATTGTGATGACCCACATCCTTATGGTATACCAAAGGGCCGTAAAGTAATGGTATGCCGTGATGACCTTGGGGGACAAAGCAAAGAGATTCTACCTAGGAAATTTCAGACTTGCAAGATTCTGTTAATATAGTTTTACAATAAAATAGAATTAGCTTATCTAGTTGTGTTTCCTGACTGGTCTGTAGCTGAGTAGGGAGAATATGGTAGTGTGTACTTACTATGTCCCTGTCCCTATGAATTCATTGAGAGGACATTGAGAAGAAAATGGCCTGAAGCACCAGGCACACTTGAGCTGAGGACTTGGCCTATAAACAGAACAATGGGGCAAAAGCATGCCCCGTTGTTCTCATCTCTGCCCCTGAAGGCTCTGATCTGGAGTCATGACTGGCCAAGCAGGGAGAATACCACTGTATCACTTCAAAAGTCAGAGAGTAGAGAGTGAGGAAGTGGGATGTTGCATACAAAAGTATCTTGGCAGGATCTCAATACCGGTAGTAAACTCTTGCTCCTGAATGGACCAGCTGCTAACATCAGAGCTGAGTGACAGCACCAGTTGTACTCAAGTGATAGCTGGGTCCCTACAGCACAGAAGGCTTCATGTGAGGGTCATTGCAAGCAGCATCAATGGCAGCCCAATCTGAAGCATTTTCATGCCTTCTTCTAACTTGTAGCCACCTCCCTGGGAACTTTGACACCTGGCCTGGATCTGACAAGACTTTGAGCCTTGCCTGCTGAAACTTGAGTGCTGGCAAAGAACTTCTCAGGCCAAATTCAGACTGGACTAAGTCTAAGAGTTCACTTAGCATGACAACTGTGAGGACCTCTGTTATATGAAAACTATTAACAACTTTATTTCACTTTTGCAGTCCAGGCACCAATATATAAACTGATCTGTGGAGAATTTAGAGAAATCTCTGTATCTTTCATCATCATTCAAAGTAGGGGAAACACCATTAAAATAAGCCATTGCAGACAGTCCATATTCTGAAAGTGTTTCCATAAAAGCTAGAAGAATTCATTAGGGAAGCAAAATGACACAGAAGTGGTGTTGGTCATAGTAGTGGCTTTACCTTGTTGCCCTATCAGTGTGTGGACTTCCTTCACACACAAGACATGAGAGGATAACTGTTGTCCAACTTTGTGCATCAAAACACAGGTTCTAAATAACCACCCTAGAACTGCTACTTCATTTCATTAATAAAATTCATACTGTTCTACTCAGGAAGCCTGGGGTAAGTAATTTTTGGTGGGTGTTATGGAAGTTATAATGCAATCCATGCACATACACAGCTAAAACTTTCTGCCACCAATTTACACAAGAGGAGAGAAAAATCCAGCAAATGGGCACAAGGGGGCTCTCTGGAGTCATTTTGCTTCACAGAAGACTTTCCTATCACTACTGTATCAGATTTTTGCAAGGAGATGCTTATCATAAGAATCTTTGGACTGAGGCGGCAATCTGCAGTCCTTGTGACAGGGGTGAAAGCCAGCTGGTTCTGACGGGTTCTGGAGAACCGGTAGCGGAAATTTTGAGTAGTTTGGAGAACTCGTAGTGGAAATTTTGAGTAGTTCAGAGAACCGGCAAATACCACCTCTGGTTGACCCCAGAGTGGGGTGGGAATGGAGATTTTGCAGTATCCTTCCCCTGGAGTGGGGTGGGAAAGGAGTAGCTATTTCAAGCTCAGTGCCTGGTGTTAGGGAGACTGATGTGTTCTTCATCATTGTTTTTAAAATATTGTCACTGTTCAACTTTTAAAAGAGTTTCATATTTATAAATACTTTCCCATTGAGATTAATCTGCTTGTCCAATGAAGTCTCTGTTTTGTTTTCTGTTTCCTCTCTAAAACATAGAGTTCTACCCCTGTACATTTTTCAATTTCCTTCAGGTTCATTAAGCCTTGTGTCCTTCAAGGAAGAATTGAATAAGCTTGATGAATAAAACTGTTTTATTTATTTGTAAAATTTATTAGCCACCCATCTTTCCACACAGTAACCCTGAGCAGCTTACAATATTAAAAAATAAAACTGTCCAAAACCTAATGAAATAAATATTGTACTATAACAACCTATCTATAAAGAGGGGGGGGTATAGGATGGGGGGAGTGGGATCGATTATTGACCTATCAACCAGTGGTGAAATGTAAAATTAGTTACTACTAGTTCTGTGGGCGTGGCTTGGTGGGGGTAATGTGACTGGGTGGGCGTGGCCAACTTTTTTTTTTTTACTTTTAAAAGCATTTTTTCTACAACCTCTTCGGCCAAAGAGGTTGTTAAAAAAATGCTTTTAAAAGGCTCTGACGATCCCAGCTGAGTTGCCTGATCGTCCGAGGCTTTTGTTTTCTTTTAAAAGCATTTTTTTTTTTTTTGCTTTTAAAAGAAAAAAAAGCCTCTGATGATCAGGCAACTCAGCTGGGATCGTCAGAGCCTTTTAAAAGCATTTTTTCGGCCGAAGAGGTTTTAGAAAAAATGCTTTTAAAAGTAAAAAAAAAAGCCTCTGATGATTCTCTCAGCTGGGCATGGGGTGGGGGGGGCAGGGATTTTTGCTACCGGTTCTCCGAATGACCTGCCACTAACGCTACCAGTTCGGGCGACCTGGTCTGAACCAGGAGCATTTCACCCCTGCTATCAACCATCCCCAGTTGGAAACCCCTCCATTGGAGCCCCAAGGTCCAATGTCTTTAGGCTCTTATGGAAGGGTTGGGGCTGACCTCACTCCAGGCTGCTCCAAAGGGCAGACGAACAGTAGAGAAAGCTTTATCCTGGACCTCACCAGACAGAATACCCTGGCCAATGCAACCTGCAGCATGCCTCCTCTGCCAGCATGGTGCAATCCTGATGAGCCTTCAAGTAGCCTGAATTCAGGCCATGAAGTGCTTTAAAGGTAATTACCATCATATTGAATTGCACCCAGAAACAAACTCAGCCAGTGCAGCTTGTGGAGGAATGATGTTACCTGGGCCACCCTTGGGGGCCCCAAAACTGCCTGCACCATTGTACTCTGCACTAGCTGTAGCTTCCAAATACTCTTCAAGGATAGCCTAAAAGTGAAGAACAACAATTTGTGTTTTGAACCCTAACATTTAGTAAAGTTTTGTTTGCTATACTGCTGGAGGCAGCATTATATTATATTCATTGTAATACAATCTAAGAAGGATAATAAGGATTATATAATAAAGATAATAATAAGGATTTTATATTGTATCTCTTCTACAGTATTTTTCCCAAGATCCAGCAAAACTTGCTGGGCAAGGCAGAAAATATGGTAGAGATAATTCAATTACCTCTATACAGGTAGTCCTCAACTTACAACCGCAACTGAGCCCAAAATTTCTGCTGCTAAGTGAGACAGCTGTTAAGTGAGCTTTGCCCCATCTTATGACCTTTCCTGTCACAATTGTTAAGTGAATCATTGGAGTTGTTAAGTTAGGAACATGGTTGTTAAGTGAATATGGTTTCCCCATTGACTTTGCTTGTCAGAAGGTCACAAAAGGACCCCAGGATACTGCAGCCATTGTAAAGAGGAGCCATTTGCTGAGCATTCAAATTTTGATGATATGACCAAGGGGATGCTGCAATGGTTGTATAGACATAAGTCACTTTTCAGTACCGTTGTAACTCTGAACGGTCACTAAACAAATGGTTGTAAGTCAAGGACTACCTGTAGTAAACTTCAACAAAGCAGTCTGTATGACACAGACACTGATATTGCTAATCTTTGCCCAGAAACTGTAAACGTTACCTCTCCTGTTTTACAAATCCCATTGAAAATTATGAAAGTAGCATGGTTCATACCAATCAGGCTTCCCAAATCTTTTCATTGTATTTGTACCTAAAGGGTTAAAATAGACCACATTGATCTTAGATACATTTTTATGGAATCAGCAGAGTAGTTTATGCAAAATCTTCTGAGCCTACAGATAGTCCTCGGATTATCACCATAATTGAGCCCAGAATTACGGTCATAAATCATGCTGGTCGTCACATGACAACTCTGATTTTACGACTTTTTTCTGTGGAAGTTGTTAAATGAAGGCGGCAGTCAAAAAGCAAGCATGGCAGTTCTTAAAGTGAACATGGCAGTTGTAAAGTGAACCTATTGTCCACAATGGTTTGTTTGTTTGTTTTTGGCCGAAAACCAGAAGTAAATGCTGATTTCTAATCAAAAACATTATAAATTGTGGTCATATGAGGCACTGCAAATGACTATAAATACAATCACATAACCATGGGGAAGGACAGCCATCACAACTTCACATCTGAGTCATATAAGTACCTTTTGGGGGGGTCCATCATAACTCTGAACAGTCATTAAGCAACCAGTCGCTAAATGAGGATTACTTGTACATCCTATTAAAGATCAAAGAATCCAATGTAGCATCTGCTAAAGTCTGAGAGCAATGAAATAAGTTGAGTAGGAGTTTCTACCAATAGGATAACAGATCATCTCAAAGTCTGCAGAATATCATTATTTCAAAATAACATAACTTATTTTTTTCTCCAGCCAATCAGCGTAATACTGTAACTGGACCAGTAATAAATCAAGTAACATTGTCAGAACAGAGAAATACATCCTGATTGATGCAAATAAACTATACTGAAATGTTTTACTTTGGCCTTTGGAGAGATGTGGTTTATAGACTAAATAAGAGATCCTATGAACAGTATTAACCAATTTGTTTGAATTTATTGTATCATTTTGTACTTTGTCCCGCTTTGATATCGTCTCATTGTGATTGATCATACTGCAAACAGAGATAATCTGCCCATCATAAAAAAGGCATTGCACCCACAATGTTATCTGATATCCATGTTGCTATGAGGATCTGCCCTTATTCTTGCTCATTTGCATCTGTGTTGACAGTTCAAAAGGAACATATCCTAAAGGGAAAGAAAATAAAGGCAATGAAAAATTCTTGAGATTTGAATGACTTCAGTATTATTTTAGATTTTTAGATTTTTTTTTATCTCACCTTTATTATTTGTATAAATACCTCAAGGCAATGAATATAAGCCTTCATACTTTTGTATATACCTGCTTAGTAGGGCTTTCAGCCCCCGCTTAGCGGTGTTCTTTTTTGTACATAGTCATCTTATTGCCCCCACAATCCGGGTTCTCATTTTACCTACCTTGAAAGGATGGAAGGCTGAATCAACCTTGAGCCTGGTGAGATTTGAACTTGCAGTAATTGCAGGCAGCTGGTGTTACTTAACAGCACTTTAGTCTGCTGTGACACCAAGGCTAACCAAATATGTCCTTTGGTTAGCCTTGAAGGGAGGTGTAGCCCAGCCTCTGAGGGCATTAGTTTAGGAAAACTGAACCTAATGGGGGAAATAGCATTATCAAATATGTAAGATATAATTCTTTTTAACTCTAATGCAGCTCTAATGCACTGTTAATAAGGATATGAGGGTTAACTGTAAATAAAAATATGTATTCTATCAAAAAACAATACAACAAATTTATGAAACAACTGATGTGTGAAAGTGCACTCCCCATGCCCAGACCATTGTTAATCAAGAAGCAATAAGCATTAATTGTAGCTTTATCTTTCTATTCAGTCATTTTTCCACCAGCATTTCAAGAGATGACTTTATTCTTGCTTCTGCATATTCATGTTTGCTCCCTCTGGGGTTTCAAGGACCTTGCCATACAAATTAATTTAGAATGAAGAAATATCAACTAATTTAATTTGTTTGGTTTAATATCCCGCCTTTATCATTTTTTTTATAAACAACTCAAGGCAGCAAGCATATCTAACACTTCTTGTTCCTCCTTCCCACCCCCGCATAACCATGTGCAGTGAATTGGACTGAGAGAGAAAAGTCACCCAGCTGGTTTTCATGGCTAAGGCAGGACTAGAACTCACAGTCTCCTGGTTCCTAGCCTGTTCATATGCCTGAATCTGGCCTGACAACATGAGTAAAAAGCATGACTGTGCATCCTACTACCATCCCAAAAGAGAGGGTCTGTAAGTGGTCCCCACCATAGTTTGTCTATGAACATAGGAAAGCTGGAAACATTGGGGACAGTCCTATCATTCAGGCAATACTCTTTCAGAGATCTTACTATATTTTCCACACCTACAGAATGTAAAGATCCTCAGGAATGAATTCCTCTACTTTAAATCAAGGTTTAAAAGAATTCAAATAAGCAACTATTTACTGTAGTGTGGAAAATATCTGTTGTGGTCCGCCAGCAGCCTGCGGAGCTGGCAGCAGAGTCAGATAGTGAGGAGGCTGGGGAGGAACATGGGCCAGTCCTGGAGTCTGGGGAAGGCTCAGACAAGGGCTCTGCATTGGAAGCACAGAAAGGGCCATCTGGGAGGTACGTGCTGCCTCCGCAGCCTCCAGAGTCGGACCTCAGTGAGGCAGAGGAACAGGGGGAGCCTGTTCCCAGTGCACGCATGCACAGAGCTGCCAGAAGGCAAGAACAATTAAAACAAAAGGGACGACTCGGGAGTTGGGCTTGGAGATGATTGGCCCCTCCCATAAGACTTAAAAGAGGAGCAAAGGCACATGGGCCTTTGCAGGAAGCAACGTTATTAATTCTGTGCAGTTTTAAGTCTGAAGCTCTGTTTGATTCTGGACTCCATGTGGCTTTGCCAATTAGGTCTTTGGCAGCATGTCAAAGGAGATAAAGGTGGGTGATTATCAGTCTTATCCCGAAAGACACTTTACAACTATTTGGGACTCATCTGTGAATGAACAGAATTCACAGCTGTTAAAATAAAAGAGATTTTTGGGACAACTTGTGTGTTTTACTGACTCAGAAAGCCTAGGTCAGAACAATATCATTCAGACAAAGGGCATGTCAGAAAAAGAAAGCAGTTATCAATAATTGAGTGTTGCTACCAACCTCTGGCTATAATTCAGTCACTTGTTGCTTTAATCTCCGTTCATCATGCAATCTCTTTCATAAAGCCAATGAGGGGATGTAGAACACAAAACAATTCTTCAACAATTCTTCATCCCCAATATAACAGAATAACAGAATTGGGAAGGACCTTGGAGGTCTTCTAGTCCAGCCCCCTGCTCCAAGCAGGAGACCGTATACCATTTCAGACAAGTGACTGTCCAGTTTCTTCTTAAAATCCTCCAGTGATGAAGCAACCACAACCTCTGAAGGCAAGCCATTCCACTGGTTGATTGTTTTCTCTATCAGGAAATTTCTCCTTAGTTCTAGCTGGCTTCTCTCCTTGATAAGTTTCTATTCATTGCTTCAATCTATATTTGAAACCTTAGCAAGGAAATGGGAATAATAAAACTTCACAGAAGAGCTTGGAAAGTTCTCAGAATCAAGTTGAATGAGCATCAGATTTGGAAATGAATCAGCTCATCCACAAGGCACCCAATAATAGTCAGTAGCTGGTTGTTTAGAGGATGATCCAGAAGAGTTCCAGCTGGTTTTCATATATGGACTCCTTTAGCCATAATAAAAGTAATAAAGGATATCTAATGAAAACCAATAAAAAGCCAAGTCTAAGCTCAGCGTCTGATGACCTTAGATCTTGTTTAACTCATTTGACATAAACCAAGGTCACTGACACACTTCCTGGAAACTTGATGTCTTGACTGAAATGCAAAAATCTTCAGATCCTCCACTTTTAGAAAGGCTCAAACCTATCAAGAATTAGTCTATTATTGTTTTTGTGCAATAAGAAGTTTTCAAAACATATGATTTTTGGGAACAATGATTATGAAAGGAACACACAACCCAGAAAAGACTTTCCTCCTCCTTCTCCTCCTCCTCCTCCTCCATGATTTATAATCTGCGTCAGGGGCGGGTTTCAAAACCCGTTGCTACCGGTTTGCTCGTGGGCATGTGCTTGCTTGCGCGTGCGCACAACACTTCTGTGCATGCACAGAAGTGTCCGGGAGGGTGGGCGGAGCCTCCCGCTGCTGCCACTACCGGTTCGCCCGATCTGGGGCGAACCGGTAGCAACCCACCACTGATCTGTGTTATATTTTACTCTGCAACTCATATTTTATTTTTACTTCAAAGTTTTTATAATGTTACATTAGTATTAACCAAAACCTGGTATTTAGAATTTCAAAAGCGAAAGTCCATGGGAAAGAATAAAAGCAGATGGTAAGAGTACACTAAAAGGTGAGAGAGGCAAAAAGACTTGATTAACTAGTATTTTTCTAGTGCAAAAGAATATACTACAGACTTCATCAAAAGTTTTATGTAACTTCTCAAGAGCTCTTAACCTATTTCAGGTTATTGTGAACATGTCCTCATTTGGATGGGTTAGCTTTTCTGATGAACTTTGGTACTTTTGCTGGAGGCAGATATCCCTGAGTTGTTAACAAATTGCAGAAGCTCATGTGGGGCACCCAAAGAGAGAATCAAAAATGGGGAAGATGGTGGGTATAACCATGCAATTGAAGGCCCACACCTTTAATGTACACATGATGCATGTTAAAATTGGTTGTGTTCACTATCTTGACTTCTCTGATGAACATCCCTGTCTTCTCTCCATGTCATCTGACATGATAGATCAATCCAGATTTAAATCTTGAGTTCTGGTGGCTTCCTGGACTAATCCCTCCAGTTTTCTTGGCAACATTTTCACAAGTGGCTTTCTACTTCCTCCTTCCTGGGGCTGAGAGAAAATGACTGGCCCAAAGTTATTCAGTTGGCTTTGTGTTTAAGGCAGGACTAGAACACAGTTTCTTTTGTTCTGATGCTTAACTACTACTCCAAACCATCCTTCTTTATTACACTGTTTGGAATATTTGAACTTCTTAAAAAATGAGCAGGCCTTTTGAATAATTTCCCAGCCATATGAATGCAGGTAAGTATGTTTCCATGCACAAAGACCAAGATTTTGTGTATTCTATCGTGCTATGTCCCAATGATGCTTTTCAAAAGCCAACTGGATTTTCTTGGGATTTTTCCTTGAAAAATTTCCACTTCTCATCCAAGAAGCTTCTGAACTGAATTATGAAATTTCTTGGATGAGAAGTAAAATTATTTCCGGGAAATAGCTAAGAAAGCCTAGTCAGTTTTGAAAAGCATCCTCCTTAGGACAACAATGACCTGGATGATTGAGAATCTCCATAGTTGTACCCTGCTATGTTTCACATTCCCCTCTTGTGAGAAGGAAAGCCCATTGGGCATAGGTCTGAAAAATGTCACCATGAGCCCACCAGGTGGCCCTGTGGAGCCATCCACAGAGCCTGCCAGAGCGGGGGAACTTCCCAGGAAAAGTGGCAACTACCTTTAAGGTGAGCCTATCTGCTTGTAGCTGGCCCAACCCCTTTAAAGCTAGTAGCAAGCAGTTGATTGGGAGAGAACTGGTTTCACCACTTCTCTGCCGTACTCTTTCATCATAAGTCAGGGCCAGGCAGGTAGCTTTTGCAATGCAGGAATCTCCGTCAGTCCTTTGGTTCTGGTGAAAGTCTCACATCAAGGGCACCCGGCGAGCGCCTCAATGTCTCAGGCCTGTGGCCATCAAGCTGAGAGACTTGCCGAGTGACGGAACTGAGTTTCAGAGCCAGGGTCTGGGAGCAGGATTGCCTCCACGGGGAAATGGAGCTGAGATTCCTTGGCAGAAAAGCTGCTCTATCTTTGGAGCTGCTGTTTCTGTTCTCTGTTTCCTTTCTGCAAGAGATATCTGCTAAAGAAGGTAAGGGCATCTGGGGAGAAGGGAAAGATACTTAGGGTTCAAAATTTGGGGGAGCCGCATAACTTCTTGGAATGTTGCAAGAGGGAAGTTTTAGACTCCAAAACTGAAAATGCCAAACAAAAGGAGAACATACTTCGCAAGGACATGTTACCTTGAAAAACCATACAAAGTTGCATTATGCACAAGTGCTGAAGTTTGGGAAGGAGAGCTGGGGAATTAGGAAATGTTGTCCTCATATATTTTTGTCCCACAAAGACAAAGCCTGAATCTGCCAAACTGTACTTACTTAAGGTTTGCTTGTCAGCAGGTGGGAATCAATTGCAGCATCCAGTGATCAGCCTGGATTTGCTGCTGTCTCAATGTATGAAACAGCCCTAGCTCTGGAAGACAATGAGGAACCTGACAAGAAAGTTGAATTAGTCACGCTCCATTTTTGCCCATTGTGGGGTTAACTACCCTGCTGAAAAGCAGGATGAAGTGGGCCCTGGTACTTCCAATAGCTTGGAAATCTTTGCAGATGACACATGGTAGCCCTGGAGCTCTAGATTTCAGGAAAGCTTTGGTTGGCTTCCGTATTATAGGGTTGCTTTTCAAAGGATCTTTTTTTTAATGAGATTATTGGGTAACAAATCTCTTGGTAAGCAAGCAACAATGTTATGAGTCAAATGAGCTTTATAAGTTTATTACATTAAAATCCTAATGGAAACAGGAATCAAATATCTTCCCTTGTCTGTAGCAGGCAGGGTTTGGCTGTAACTCGTAATTTCTGTGTTGGGGTTGGTTCCCAATTACACAGCTTCACTCCCCCTCCTGATACAGAACAACATGCATGTGATTTTTTAATGACTCTCTAAGACTCACTGAACACATTGTTTATAATTAATAAAGTAAAATTAGGCTCCTCTGAATTAGCTCCTGTAAAAAAATTACTAATGCATTCTGTTAGCAGAGCTGACAAATATTTTTGTTGTTGTAGAACATTAGTAAATTAAACAGTTCCTTCTTTGCAATGGATATACACTCCAATACACAAACTTTAAATATTTCTGGTTGCCAAACCCAAACCTCAATTAGTGTTACTTAATGGCTGAGGGTGCTTCAAACTCAGAGGTGTCAAACCTTGGTAATTTTAAGACATGTGGATTTCAACTCCTAAAATTCCCCAGCCAGCTATGGCTGGCTGAGAATTCTGGGAGTTGATGTCTGCAAATCTTAGAATTGCCAAGGTAGGACAACCCTGTTCTAAATTATTGCAGAGTCCCTGAAAAGTTCCTTTCTGCTTAGCTTCTTACCCTTACTTATGAGCATCTGACTTTTCATTTTCAGTGTTAAAAACAGAGCTAATGGCTCCAAACTGGAATGGAAAATGTGTATGTCTTGCAAATGGTCTACAAACGATTTGTGATGCTTTCTGCCTTTGTGTAATGATAGGACACGGATGACTTTAGATGCTGAAAAATTCTTAAGAAAGTCCTATTTGTTTGTTTCCTTGATTCTCCTAGCATAAGCCAGCTCAGACCTATTGTAGTGGCTTCCATAATGAAGTTAAATATTCTATTGGTTCAGAGATTTCGCACATGATAATTGGAAAAGGAGAAAAGAAAAAGGCTGCAACATCTTAATAATAACCAATTCCACTAATCTCCATGGCTGATTAGAATAATTTTACTTAGAATGCTTTGGTTTAACTAGTTTTTGTGATTGGTTGAACTTGACGCTGTAGCTATAGGTAAACAGCAGAATGGACAGGAATGGCCTTTAACCTCCAATTATTGAAAGACTGACAATGACCTGGGGTAGAATCCTAGGTTTAAATACAGCAGCCAGTTATGAATGAATGAAATGAATGACTAAAAACATGCCACCATCAGATTCAAGGTTCATAAGTTACATTTAAAAAATAAAACAGAGCTTAAAGTTCTGCTGCTTTCAATAATGTCTCATATTCCAGGAAAACCTTTTCTGCTATAATACCTTTCTGTGTAGCCTCTGTTTCTAATTAGATGACACTTTCTCCTTGCAGAACCTAGTCATATTGATGCTGGCAAATCATGAGTTTGCAATATGACCTTTTATTTCTCCCAAATTTAAGGGCAATTGTCCTGAAACTCCTCATCTGCCCATAATTAAGAAAATTGTATAATTTGAGCTGAGGTTCTATCTTGGCACCTGCATACCAGCCTATCTGCAGCCACTTTGGCAAGGGTGTTACCTGCTCAGGACTTAAGGAATTTAATTCCCTTGCTCACACCTAAAGGGGCATCATGTGAGCAAAGGGACATAGAGCCAGAGCCCCAATTCTCCTTTCTCGACTTGCATGCTTCCCTCTCTCTAGTATCTATTCTTTGGTTTTAAATTTCATAGCACAAAAATGGAAGGAACTAGATATTCTATTTTTAAGAAAATAACTTGAAATCTATTAATCATTTCAAAACAGATTTGCTACAGTCCTCTTCCCCCACCTCCATCTGTCCAGAGCAGTCTTTATCCAATCAGTGTGTATTCAGTCATTCATCTCTACTGCCAAAGTTTTACTCATTGTACAATTAGGAAAACGCTCTTAAAAAGTATTCTTGTATCTAACTTTCCCTAATGGATCACATTTGTAAGCATTTTTTAATGCAGCTTTCTGTAAGATAGACGTTTTTATCTATAACTTTTAAGCCAAGAAATATAGGCATTAGCAAACTCTGAATTATGTGCCTACTTGTGCCACGATATATTCTTTATTTCACAGAATGCATTGTTTCTCTTGGAGGGAATCCAGGATGAATTTCTTTCACATTCTTAGCATATGTATTGCATAATTTAAGTTTTAGTTTCATTCCTAGCACTCATATCCAGTTACAAGAATTCTTATAGTAGGGCTGTGATCCAAACTTGTATCCACATGAATTGCTATAGTTAAAAGGCTGAATTTAAATATTGTATTCCAACATAAGATTTCTTTTTCAGATTTGGAGTTTATAACTAACATCTTAGTCATTTTTTATTCTTTAGAAATGTTGTTTGAAAATGTTGTTAGCATTATTTTAGCACAGTTATTGACTTCCTGTGTATATTTTTTATTAAATTTGTATGCCACCTAACATAAGAAGGTCACATGCAATGAAAAGATTTTCACACTCCTGTTGATGCTGTCTGAATTACTTAGGAAAATAAAGTTTCCTAAGATAATTAAGTTTTTCTAATATATCTTTAACTAGAATGATCTATATCAGGGGTGTCAAACTGGCAGTATGTGGGCTGGATGTGTCACGTGCAGGCCACACCTACCCTGGCTCTGCAAAAGAAAAAAAAAATGTCACGATATGTCATGATACGTCATGTGACACGATCGAGTTTGGCACTTGTGATCTATATTGTCATCTTAACAATCAAGCATAGGTCAGACTATTGTATAGTTGCAAAGAAGGAGTCATGGTAACGTGTAACATCGAGAGATCTGTCAGAGATCCTTAATGAGATAATGTGGGCTAGGATGCCTCTTTATTATCTATGACATGTCATTGATGTACAGATGTTCCAACCTTTTAAAAAATATATACTGTATTATTACCTTTGGCTTTCACAATAGGAAGATAAGATACTCTTCACAGAGACATGACAGCTTCTAAGAGACTGGACTGGAGGGAATTAATACTTCTGTCATGCCTTTACAGCATGTTCTCATTTTAAAGCCTTCACTCACTTGTGGAAATATTTCCCGACTGAAATTCCTGATGGAAAAGTGGGTCTTAGAGAGGAATGAGGAAGCCGGGAAGTAGTAGCAAAAACAAGAGCATGTGTAAATAATATAATGATGCCTTTATCCTGTTAATATTAATTTTTGAAGCTGATTTTAAAATGATTTTTAAAAGGCTACACAAGGGCATAAAGGTAGCACCATTAAAGCAGCAGCATTTTTTCCTGGGATGGGCACTGATTCAACTGCTTTAAAGAGTTCCCTGATGCCTCACAGTCCCAGGAAAAGAGGCAGCTGCTTTAAAAGTTACAGACAGTACTACGTATGTAACCTCATGCATTCCAAAGCACTTTTTTAAAGGCTGAGTACAAAGCACTACGCAGTTCTAATGCTTAGTATGAGATTGATTTTAAGAGTTTTTAGAATGTATAAAGATACTACAAATTTATGTTGGAAATGTGGAAAACAATAATGGGTCATTTTATCATCCTTGGTAGACTTGTAAAAAAAGCTAGAAAATTTGGGGTTCAAATACATGCAGTACATAAAGCATTTTAAAAGTTAATTGAAACTTACCACGAACCATTGAGTCTTTCCTTCACCTTGCCATGTTCTCATTCCAACTCCTGATCTGTCCCATTCCTTCCTTAATTTCCTTAATACTTGGACTGTGTCAGCAGCTCAAAGGTGATATTGTTTCCGTGGAGTAAAGGGGAGGGGTGATGTCTCTCCTACCCCTTTTTGGTACCAGGAAGAGAGGAGAGGAGACTGCTGGGTGTAGAAGAAAGAATCTAGATCAGAGTTGACTTAAAGAGGAAAAGAGAAGATGGAGTAAGAACTAAGAAGTAAGGCCAACAGTATGGGCTTCTCTTTCCCCACGGCCAATGCAGCATGGAATATAAAGACGAGCCCTAAGAAAAGTCAACTGAAGTTGCAAAGACCTATTTGCGTGATTTTTTAGATACAGCTATTCCATGGAATAGAAGGGTATAGAAGGCTGTAGAAGGGTGGTTCCTATTGCAATGTTTAAAATATGTTTTATATGCATCCTAAATTCAAGCTTACAAGCTCACCGCTGTTTATAGATGGATTGATTTGATTTAGGGTATGCTGAGCATGCAGAGCCCCGAAATTCCATCACTAAAGGTCAAAAGGGAGCAGAAGGGAAGCAGGGACTATGTTCCAACCCTTAAACTCTCTTAAACACCAGGAAGCTTCTTAGATTTAAGATTGATTCACACTCAGTCTTTTTACCCATGTAGCAGAACAAACAATTCAGTTATTTGTTGTCTGGATTTAAGACAAAAGTGTCTACGACTGTACACACTTTCTTTGACTTATAGAGGCTTTTTTTTTTCTTACAGTCTGCTAGCCGATCAAGTCTGCTTTTAGTGTACTGTAGATCCCTGAACCTGTAATAATTAATTGAGTAGTTTCCTCTTGTCCCTTTTCATGCTTTTGCTAGCTTAAAATGAAATAGTAGCAACATAGCGTTCATTTTTAGAATGCAGAAGCTAAATGTTTGGTTGTTGATTTTTTTTTTAATTACTAAGATTTATTATGCATGAATCCCTGGAACTGCCTTGATTTTGAAAGTTGTTAGATTATGAAATCTAATAAATCAACTGTAACCTAATAGCCCCAAGGAAATAGTTCTCTGCAAGCAAGGGAAGATGAGCTACCTAAGATTCATGGTTGTTATTCTTGGTTTGAATTTTAACCAAAGAAGAAGCTAAGAAGGGGAAAGGAAGAGATGAACCTCTATGATCCGAACTTCTTTTTCTTTGTTCCTTGGAATGGAGTAAAACAAAACTAGCCCTTGCCCCTGCATCCTTCACTGGAACAATGGGAGGAAACCTCCAAAAATAAAGTGAAACTACAGCAAGAAAAGTATCGAAGTTCTTTTCTTTCCTTCCTTCCTTCCTTCCTTCCTTCCTTCCTTCCTTCCTTCCTTCCTCCCTCCCTCCCTTCCTTCCTCCTCCTCTATAACTCCATAGTTAAACAGGGGTGGGCAAATGTGGCCCTTTTACAACCTGTGGTCTTCAGCTCCCAGAATTCCTGAGACAGCTTGGCTGTCTCAGGAATTCTGGGAGTTGAAGTCCACAGGTTGTAAAAGGGCCACATTTGCCCACCCTGACATTGAATATTCTGCAAATATTGATTTCATCAGCTGTAAAATGCCATCAAGTATTAGTTATAGTATTACAGTGTGGGAGATGCAGACTCATCAGATGTCAAATAGTGTGAAGAATGGCTTTCTTTAACAGCTTAATTTTCTCAAATTAACAAAGAAGATTATGGTCTCAAGCAACCTTTAGATCAATAATATTTGATTAGATCCTTTCAATTACAGATCTATCTGTGGTTGGTAATTTATACGTTAGTTAGCTTGATGGAAATTTGGTTTCTTGGCTGGATATCAAAAATGTGCTAGGCCCAAGCAAGCTGGATTCATAAACAGATCAACAGTTGACTACTGTTAGATCTCTGGCAGAAAAAGACATAGCATCTCCTGGCCAAAATTCTTTTATTCTCTCTCAAGAGAATTTGGGCTTAAATTTAGCATTACTTTCATTACTTCCAAGACTTCTCTATTTAATTATCTCTCTTTATCTAGAGCCTACTAAGAGTGAGAAGACAATTTGTTTCAGCCTATATTTGTCACAAAAGGGCTTCATTAGGCCAATAATTTTTTGCCCCAGATTTCCTTTCTCCAAAATTGGAGAACACAAAACTCCAACACTTAGACTTCCATTGTTTTACTGTTCAAATGTCGCTTCCCTTCTTTCTCCAACAAATATATACCTGAAGAGATATATTATGTGCATCTATGGGTTAAGCATTTCAGAATTTGTTTTACTGATAATTTCAGTAAATCTAAAATAAAGAAGAATATTTATAGCTCAGGGCTGAAATGAGGCGTTACATTACTCTCAGAGAGCACCAAGTACCCCTCAGTAAATTTTAAATAATGGTTTTTCCTTTAAAAAATAAGCATATGTTTGTATAAACGGTTCATTACAGGACAGACCATGGAACAAAACCAACCATCCAAAGATTTGGGAATCATGTGAGAATAATTTCAATTCAATATATTTGATAATGTTCTTTTTCTTGGGTTGCCTATAGAATTTATGCAGTTCTCCATTTGTTCCTACTAGTGTTAAGGCCATCACTCTCTTTTTCTTATCAAGATTGGAGAATTTCTTTCAGTTTCTTCACAGATATTTAAAGCTAAAGACTAACTCCAATTGTTAGGTAGCCTTGGATTGGGGGTTTAATTCAAATTTGGAATAAGATATCTCTATATTTTTCCTCCATTACATTCTTGAGATGTCTAAATTTATCCTTTCATTGCCTTCATGTTAGTGGCTGGTTTTCTTTCTCTCAAATGTAGATCCATAGGGCTTGACAGGCATATTTCTCGTGTGATGCACTGTATTATATTAGAGAAGAGAGCTACCATTGCCCTGCCTTGAACTCAGAATTGCCATGTTTAGGCCTTTGGCTTTGTTTCTTCTCTCTGCAGGAGTATTGCCAAACATGAGCCATTCGCGATCTGTTTATCACAAATATTGACTTCCAATATTCTTAGTGGCTCACAGACCTGTCCCAGTTTCCATTGTACAGGTAGTCCTCGAGTTACAACCCTAACTGAGCCGGGCAATGACAGTCATAAATCATGTTAACTATAAAGCAGGTCACCACATGACCACCGATTTTAAAAACTTTTTCACAATAGTCTTTAAGCGAATGTGATGATTGTTAGGAGAACATGACAGTCATTAAGTGAACCTGAAGGTTATTAAACAAATAATAATCATTTGTGGTGGTCATTAAGTGAATGCAAAAGTTGTTAAGCAAACCCATTGCCCGCTATGAGGCAGTTTTGGGTAGAAACTTAAAATAAACACTGGTTTCCAGAAAAAAACATAGTGAATCATAGTCATGTTACCGTAGGATACTGCAAACAGGCATAAACTCGGACCAATATTTGAGCGCCCAAAATGCAATTATATGACCACAGCAACATCAGAACTGCAAAGTCAAATCATAAGTATTTTTGGGGGGGGGGGGTCTGTTGTAATTTTGAACAGTCACTAAGCATCCAGTCGTCGTAAATTGAGGATTACCTCTAGCCCTTAATAATCGGTACCAAGGACAAGATAATTACTTGAACAACCTAAGCATAATCTGCTATGCTTTTTGAAGCACCAGGTTTAGTTTTGTCCTCCTTGCCTTACTAATTAATCACTATCAGAGAATATTACATGATAGCTGTCTTTGCCATTGCAACTATTTTAGTTTATTTGCAGGTCTTTGAATATATAATTACATTTTACATAATACATAATAAATACATACATAATACATAATACATAATAATACATAATAAAATCACATTTTATTAACATAGTCTGCACTATCTAAAATTGAGAATGTTACAGGAACAAACAGAACATAGAATCATAGGGCTGTAAGGGACCTTAGAGGTCTTCTAGTCCAACCCTTTGCTCAAGGTAGGAGACTTTATCCCAGACAAATGGCTGTCCAGTCTATTTTTGAAAACCTCCAGTGATGAAACACCCACAACTCCAGGAGACAAGCTATTCCATTGATTACTTGTTCTCCCTGACAGAAAATTTCTCTTTATCTCTAGATTGGATCTCCCTTTAACAAGCTTCCACCCATTTCTTCTTGTCCAGCCCTCTGGTGCTTAAGAGACATGTCATCTCTTTAAAAATCCTAAGGATCATGCTGACCGAACTCCTAGAACTACCTTTTGTTTCCAGGATTGCCTCTGAATAGCAATCGATGGAGAACTCGAGCAGTAGGGATACTTTGCCCTCATGGCTCAGTGGCTAAGACGCTGAGCTTGTCTATCTAAAGGTTGGCAGTTCAGCGGTTCGAATCCCTAGTGCCGCATAACTGGATGAGCTCCCGTTACTTGTCTCAGCTTCTGCCAACCTAGCAGTTCAAAAGCATGTAAAAAATGCAAGTAGAAAAATAGGGACCACCTTTGGTGGGAAGGGAACAGCGTTCCATGCGCCTTTGGCGTTTAGTCATGCCGGCCACATGACCACAGAGATGTCTTCAGACAATGCTGGATCTTTGGCTTTGAAACGGAGATGAGCACTGCCCCCTAGAATTGGAAACAACTAGCACATGTGCTAAGGGAACCTTTCATGCTTATGGACTTCCTTGAAAGCATCTGTTTGATCTCTGGTGGGAAGAGAACTCTGGCCCATGTAGGCCTTTGGAGTGATTCTTCATTATTTGTTTCAGGCAAGGTTGGTATGAATTTCAAGTTTTTGATGGCTGATTCAATTTTTTTTCCTTATTCTTCTTTTTAGTTAATCTTCTGGACACAAGCACTTCTCAGAATGAGCTAGGCTGGTTGCCAGATCCTCCAGATTCGGGGGTAAGTAGAAATCACAAAAACTAGAATGCAAACCATCTGTACTGCATTGCAGCATGGAGCTGAATTTTCAGTGGCAGCTAGGAAATCTCTGCTAGAGATTAGTTGGTTTACTTAATGTCAAAGAGAGAGATCTAGCTGCCTATGTTGCTCTGTTGCTTGGATCCTAGAAAGGGCAAAGTAGCTAGAGAAATCTGACAAATGAGGGTCAATAGAAGCTAATAAAGGCCTTAGAAAAGTTGAATAGGGATTGAAAAGACAGTAAAGGATGTGATGTGGGGCTAGCCTGAAATTTTAAATGATTTTAAAAGGGGATACTCCAGAAGAAAAACAAGGCCAAGATTTAGAAGGGAAGAGGCATGGGCAGAAGGATCTATCTGTCACCAAGAATCTCCTGTTTTTTAACACTTCCTTTCGAGAGGCAAACATTTTTTTTTTTGCTGAACATCTTATTGATTT